AAAAAATTAAAAAAAAAAAACAAAACACATCAGGCACTGTTTTAGGCCAGGAAATCAGCTGCGATTGGGAGATGTGGCCCCTGCCCTGGTGGAACTCAGGAGACAGACAATAAACAAGGGACGGGTATATAATCTGATGCCAGGCGGTGGCTTAGGGAATGAGGCTCCAAGGGCAGGGCTACACAGGGCTAAGGCAAAAAGAGGTGGAAGAGATCTTGACTCCAGGCCTTTAGGCATTTACCCATTCGCGGCCACTGTACCATTTGCTTCCTGCAGCTCTCTGAGCTCAGGGCTAGAGGTCAGGAGAGAGGGAAAGGGTGTGAAGAGGCCCAGGAGGGACACCAGGCTGGGGCAGGCTCAGGCATGAAGGCAGCCATGATGAACCCAGAAAGCACCGTCAGTGGTGATCATGAGCCGCCTCTCTGCTCCAAAACCTTTCTTGGCTCCCCAGTGTCCCTGACCAAAGCCTAAACCGCTTCTCCTGGCCTTGGAGGCTTTCCTTCCCAGGTCCCCTTTCTATGTTGTCACCACTCCCCAAACGTGACCACCAGCCTTTGTCTACACTGTTCCCTCCCTCCGTCCATTTCCACCTGATAAAGCCCTACAATCGCAGCTGGGCATCTTCCTTTGGAAAGCCCCTTCGCACCACAGGGATATGCTGTCCCTCCATCAAGTGCCCCCACACGTTCAACATGGGCTTTCTCAAGAGAGGCAGCTGTGTACATTTCTTATCTGGCCCCAGCGAGAAAACTGGGGCAGACCTAGATACAAATGCTGGCTCAGCCCAGGCTGAGCTATGTCACTTGGGGCATGTCACTTCCCCTGTCTATACCTCAGTGCTCTCATCTGTTAGATGGGGAGTTACAATCATCCTTAGAGGATCAACTCTGGTAGCATGAAAGCACCCAATTCAGGATCTGGCAGGCACCCAGTAGGCAATGCAACCACCCTCCCCGGGCCAAGGGCTTGGGGCCTGGGGGTGGGCGGCCAGGACACTGACTCAGCTCCTCCCCCCACATCCCTCTGGCTCTCTGACCAAAGGGAGGCTGCTGACGACAGGAAGAGCCAGCAGGGAGGTGGCAGGATGTGCGGAGGCCGAGGAAGTCCAAGCAGCGGCCAGGTCATCACACTCTTAGGGGCAGGGGCCCTGAGGGCCCACCCCCAGCAGCCCAGCCCACTTCTTAGGGTCTCCACTAGCTTGAGGAAAGGGGATGTGCGCATGCGCAAACGCACCGTGCTCCACTCCATCACCCCACCCTCCAAGGCTGTCAGAGCCTCCCTAAGGCTCTAGCCAGAAACCAAAAGCAGCCCCGCCCCTCCTCTTCCAGAACATCACGGTCAAGGGGCCAGACTGACCTGAAAAGAGGCTCCTCGTTCCTTTACGTTCAGGGTAAACTCGGGCAACTCACCACCGCCCCCCCCCCCCCCCCCCCCGCAACAAGCCTCGGTTTATCTAACTGTAAAATGGGAATAAAGGCCCACTCAGTTGCGAGGCTCAGTATGATCATTAAGGCATAGGTATTGATGTAACCGGAGTAGTGCCTATCCCCAAGAGAAAGACAAATCTCTGCCATCGTGTCCCCCACCCCACTCGTGGGCTTGCTCCGAGCCAAGGCCCCAGTGCTGCTGCGAAGTGGCAAGCCGAGGAGAACACGGCGTCGTGCCACTTCGGAAATCCCAGGACGGGCTCCCGGACGGGGTGGGACGGGGCGGCCCCTTCTCACCCACTCAACCTCGGGCGCCCATGCGGGTAGGCAGTCCTCCCAGGCCTGGATCAGCGCGACCCATTCGAGCCGGGGAGCGCCCCTCTCCAGCCCTGGGCGAGACCCCAGACCCAGGCCAGGCCCTTCTCCGCTCCTCCCACTGCCCGGAGCCCTGGGAGTGCCTACGGGCCTGGCAGCTTGGGAGAATCAGGTCAGGTCTTCACCGAGGGGGCTGGAGGGGTGGTGGAAAAGGGCCATCAGAAATGGTCCGTGACTGGTCCCACAAAAGTAGGCGGAGAGGGGACTGCCCAAGATAGGGAGTTCCCGTTTCCTCGGGGTCGCCGGGGCTCCTAGTCCGGAAAGGTGAGGAGGAGGCTGGGGGAAGTCGAGGCAGAACAGCCAGCTGGGGCCGCTGGGGTCGCCCTGTCTTCCGGCCGAGACCTCCTCTCGCCTTCGGGAAGTGAAGGGGGTGCCCAGGAGGGGAGCGGCTCGGCTGGGGCTCGGGCCGTCACTCTCCTCCCGGCCTGGGGCGCAGAAGGGCTGGCCCG